GTGCGTGATATAATGATGCTGAGTGGTTCACTCGCTCTTCCTGCACCAAATACGCGGCATCGAACAAGAGCATAGCTCACGCGGTGCTCCCACCAGACATGAGCTAAGCTGCGAAGGCAGCGATGATCGAATATGACGAGCCACTTTATGTCTGTTGACCTGATGGGCTAGATTTCACAGCCAAATAGGAGAGTTGAACCGACGGCTGCGTTGTAAACTCTGCCCTTGAGGGCGAGAGTAATGTCGCGTCTGCGCCACAGGTGGCGGAGATTGGCAAAAGTACCTCGAGCTTTTGCTACACGGTTCGTAACCTCATCTTCAATCCCACGCGTGCTAATCTAGCTTCCCAGGTACTTGAATTCCTGAACAACTTCTAGCATATCACCACCAAGCGTTAGCGCAGGGTTGGGTCCCGGCCAATCTTGCAGAAGTACTTTGCATTTCGATGAAACAAAGCATAGCCCAAAACGATTGACAGCCAGTGCTAATCGGTTCAGTGCTGTTTGGCAAGTTTGGGAGCTGTTACAGGTTAGGGCAATGTCGTCTGCATACTCCAAGTCAAGAAGTCGCTCACCAGGAAGTAGCTCCACACATTCTAGGTCGTGTCCAGCGAACGCTGTTTCCATGACTTCATCAATAGCGAAGTTGCAGAGGAAAGGTGACAGCAGGCATCCTTGTCCCATACCGCTGGTGATACTGAAGGCTGGAGACAGTTTGCCATAAACCCTCATCCTGCCCGATCTATGCGCGTACAGCGCTTTGATAATGTTTACATATTTGTCAGGCACACCTTTCCTCAGCAGACAGTCCCAAAGGGCACATCGATCGACTGAGCCGAAGGCACCTTTTATGTCAAGAAACACGACAACGGTGGGTCGCCAATAAACATGGCGGTGCTCCAACACTCGACGAAATCCGGCTTGCTCTTCACGAATCTGACTTTCACGAGTGCCAGTCAGTCTGTGGAGAATGACAGAGGCAATCAATTTAGAGGCAAGCGAAATCAGACTGATCCCTCTATGATTGCCGCATTCCAAACGGGAGTTTCCTTTGAAAATTGGGGCAATGACGGAGCGGTTCCAGTCGGTCGGGACTGTCTCCTGCTCCCAAAGTTTTACCACCAACTCGTGTAAATCATCTACTAGAGCAGGTCCCCCGAATGTGAAGTGGGCTCTGGGAATTTCATCTGCACCTGCGGCCTTATGCAATTTCAACAGCGGAGATGACAAACAAGGCACGTGTAACATCTCGACGCTTACTTACAAGAACCTCATAGTCTGACTGCACATAGCCGACTATTGACTGGGATCCAGTCAAGCAAAGCGACCTCAACCCTGTAACTCAGTGCAATTTCGACACCAGCTTGGACAGAAGCAGTGGCCTCTGTGTCTCCTGAAAGGCGCAAGTGGTATTTGACGTCAAGGCTTGTCTGAGATGTCATTTTGATGAGGATACTGACGTCTTGCAATGTGGTTTCGGAAAGACGACAGATGGCCACCCAGGGTGTCTCAAGGGTGCGGGCCAGACATGCTTGTCGTCCGATCTGCATCAGAGTGCGCACATTGAACGCTGCAAGGCCGAATGGAGAACCAGGACGAAGGAAAGCTTAGACTTCGGTGGAGTGTGAGAATGTTGTGACCACTGGGCAACGAACACCAAACGTTTGGCTCAGAACTCGGGCAGATGCGACCAGTGAGCTGTCGTTGACGGTGACTGGAGAAGACATAGGCGTGGTTGAGGAACTGGACGTGGGACGATCTGCGATCGGACGTTGAGCAGCAGAGACAGTAAAGCCAGTAGATATAGCAAGAGAGAAAGCAGTAGTGTAATCCATCCGTGGTTCCTCAGTGGACGTGATACTATCCGTTTGGCCAGGCCGAAGTATAGGGTTGTCTTAAGAATCCCCCATCCCTAGCCTTTGATCCAGGATCTAACCAACTGGGCAGCAGGGCAATAAGAGTGTTTCACAACCCGTTGGGAGCCGGTGACCAAACATGTGGTTCGTAGGCCTTTAGGACTGCATAGGACCAGTGGTCCAACGCACCCTTGAATTACAATGCCGCTCAGAGAGAGACAAGGGTTAGTGACTTTGTTTAGTGACAAGTCACATCCGCCACGGCATAGTGTGCTTAAACTGACACATGTGGCTTTTTATGCGGAAAATCGTTGTCAGTCAAAAACAGCAGTCCTGGAACACTGCTGCCGAAACATTCGCTGGAACGGGATAATCCCAAGAGGAGGTTGTTCGGCAAGCCAGTCAAAGCAATTTTGAGAGATTTGTAGTAACTACTGGGTTAGTTTCGTGGTTTCAAGTACCTATGGTGGCTAGTGATAGATATTCAGCAGAGATTTGAGCAATGTATGGTTTAAACCGATTTGGTACTTCGTGAAATTCGTTTGAGTTTCGTTACCTCAAAACAATCTTGCAGATGAACCCCGAATTTCTTGCACAAATGCCACGTGACTGCCACGCGGTCAAGTCTGGCCTTGTGACTCCCCATCACATGCAGTTCGAAGTATTGATTGAGGTAACTGGGTGTGATAGACTGTGAGCGTGCTATTCTTGTGTGTCCACCCATCATCCATGTCGCACCGAGAGAGCTCCAGCGTCAAAAGCACGGATTTGATGGACCATGAGTGGGCAATGATCAAGCAAGAGATTGGACACTTCGATCCTCTTCACACCGGTTATATTCCCAGAAAGCAGTTGGGAAACGTTCTGAGACAATTAAAACTGATACCCACAGATGCTGAAGTTGAGCAGATCGGTAATCATCTTGATGTCCACAAGACGGGTAGCATAAAAATTGAACACATCTACCCGGTTGTTCGTACCTTATGGCCCAAAAATCATATGCAACTTGAGAACCAACTTTGGGATGCATTCATGTTTTTCGACAAAGAAATGAAGGGCAAGATAACGCAACAAGAGTTGAGAAAAATTCTCTTAACTTATGGGCTGGAGCCACTTCCAGAAAAGGAAGTGAAGAGAATTATTTATGAATTCACAGACCCAAAGGATGGCATGATAGAATATGGTGCGATTATTCGAGCATGGATGAAGTGAATGCTTCAGAGAAAAGGATACCAGTGCATCTGAAGCAGGTGCTTGGTTTCAATGCAGTCTCTATTTGAGTTCAGACTCACTGATGAAAATTATGCACCAAGCAAAAGTCCCCCGTGGACTCAAGAGTGTTTCAGTTGTGCAGTGCGCACAGAAAACAAAAAGTTTTTTCACTCAACACTGTTCCATTATTTTTCGGCAGTTCATATGAGTGAAACCATTGGGTATCAGTTGCATCATTGGTGGATTAGGGGATCCAGCATTCATGAGGGGTAAAACGTTAAGCTAGTCATTACGTCTGAAAGTGCTGTAGAGCACCTTGGACCGTTTCATCTTTTAAATTCCTCTCTTGCCAAGGATTTCCTCTGGTTGACGGTGCCGGCCGGTGGCCGAGTGATCTGTAGGTCTGGTTTGCAACCATAAGGCCACCGGTTCGAATCCGCTTAGGGGTGGGCGTCCTCACGGTATACTCAGCCCGAGTGCGACTGGTGTTGGTTGCATGGCAGTGAAGCACTGGCGAACTGGAGTGTACCATTCAGATACTCGACCAACATCAGTGATCTAATCCTTGCTTTCCCTTTTCAGTAAATGACTAAGGCTGGAAGCCGAACCCGGAGAATCGTAGTTTTTAGTTAGTGTTCCTGCAAAGAAACCTCATGAACACTGCTTTTCACGAGGGTAGGTCGTTCAGTGCTTGGTTTGTTGGAATACTTGGCGCGTATTTGAAAAGTCTTTAGCAGTACGCCAGCACATTGTACCGACGCTTCGCTGTCACGCGACCACCACCGATCGCGTGTGAGCTAAGTATAGCGGGAGGACACCCGCCCCTACGCGGACTCGAAGCGGTGACCTAAGGATTCAAGTCAGGCATGCAATCCTTTCAGCCACCGGACGACCGCGTATTTGAAAGGATACGCGTGATTTCAAATGATAGTTGCTCTGCGACGAACCTCAATCACGTTGAGTGCTGAGTCGCCATCCTAAATGGAGGTATCTCCCTCCCAGATTCTAAGTTGAGATAGCTTGTCACGATATAGACACCTAACAATTAAGCAAAATATAAATAAATCCCTAACCTCCGTGATGAAGAGTCGACCTTGAGCAATAATTGGTCTATGAACACCGTCCCTCCAGTGACGGTCTCGGATCTACTCCCAAGTTCATGTGATACATGGATCATTATCAACGCAGTATTACCTCATTCAGATGGGAGGACTTGCCGAACGACCTCCTCATTGTGTCATCTGGTTGGTTCGAGACTATCCTCTTCCGACAAATGGTTCCATGGTAGTGTTCCAGGACGTGAGGTACTTTTGCTTTGCAAGCCTTCACCCTATAAACTGCTACAATCTAAGTACCAGGCTCATGCGATGTAAGCAAACGATGAGACGTTGTGCGTGCCTTATTTGTCTTCTCCGCCTGGCTTCCTACAGACTTCCGCTCAAAAGCAGTCAAAGATTGCTTTCACCAGCAACTACATGACCTGCTGCCTTTCTTCAAAAAAGTGTTTTGTTAGTCTTGATGGAGATTTTAACCCACAACTTGCCGATTGCCAACAAGCGAGCGCCATCTTGGGGTAGTTTTGGTCTCATTAGCGGTCAAGCAGGCGGAGATAAAGTGCTGGTGCTTTGTTCCAATCCTCTATTGTTTCTTTCGAGCACCAGTTTTCAGTACTGGAAGAGAAGGACTGCAACCTGACGTTCGTCGTTTCTAAAGCAAGTGTGGTCCCAGCTTGATCAGATAGCAATATCACAGATGGCACGGAAGCGTAAGAGAATGCTAAACATAGTGGCCAACTTGTCCGAACTCCAATCACTTATTGGTTGTTACAAAATTTTGCATGGGTTTCGGATGATATCCCAGACGTACGCACTACCGACCGAAAGTTGCAAAACCCACCAAAGCTTGCGATCTTAACCAAGTGCTTAGCTTCACAGTCAACACTTCTCGACTCAGTTACCGACTTTGACTTTAATTTACAGTGGGTGCGCATCACAATCGGTTTAGCTCCTGCTAGTAAAGACAGGCGCGGAGTTGCCGGTCTCCCACCGAAGTGTTAAGTCGTCACTATCTCCTTGGCACTGATGGACAGAGGCCGTTTTGCCTTCGCCGATGCCATTCATGCTGAAGAACGCCGATCCATGGGTCGAGTATTGAGAAGGAGTTTACAAATGTGTCATGAAACCTAACTGTGTGAACCTTCTGGACAGCTGTAACAAGCCAGTTTCTGCTAATTTTCCTCTCCCCTCCGAGTCACTGAAGGTATCCGATCTGGTGTAAGTGAAACTCTCTGATTCTTTAATCACTAATCATCAGCGATGTTTGAAGTGATGGGCTGAACATCTTGGCCTGCAGTGTGGCTGGCAGCTAGCTCCATTTGCTTCCTCCGGTGCTTACTAGTGCCGCTTAACTCGTGGCTGACTACAAAGCCATGGAGTGAGACACTATCATAGATGATATTATTGTACAGTTAATAATGATACATGATAGAGAGGGACTTATCGCGTGTGCTTGAACGATGGATGTGAGTCCAAGTGGGTTGCCTAGTACGACTGCGGCGAGTAACCAGAACGTGGATGAAGAGGTGCGGATTGATTATCTGGTCATGTAATTGTGTGTCGCGCTTTGAGGCCGTATAAGGAGTGTCCATTTTGTGAGTGGATGTGAGACAGGATATTTCCTCAATTACCCTTGATTTTCACATGCTTGGGCGAGCAGCGTTGATAGTTAGCAAGATTATATGTTGCTTTGAGGCGAAGGAGTCCATGGTGTGCTGATGCTCATGGGAGCTAGACACTGACAGTTGTTCTACCCACTGCTGCTACTGCTGTGCCATGCGCTTATGTCCTGGACGCCTCCTTGTGGCGACCGTTGGGTGGGAGTTGGGTTACACCCTTCTCCCCGCTAAGATCCAGAACACCGATTCGCATGAGTCAGTGACCATGTCATTGACCCGCTGCCTTTCGGGTGTACATTCAATCGAAGGCTTTGGCTGAGGACCCGAGTCGTTCTCCTGTCAGGAGCGGGCGTCCTGTCAGTATCGTAGTTCATGCTATTCAGAGGTTAAGTAATGGTCGATGGCCCTCTTACCGTAAAATCTAGCCATGAGAGATAACAGGTCTACGGGTTATAAGCTCACAGCTCAATTGGCGTAGAGCAGGAGTGCCAAGCCTTCTCTCTGACGGTGAGAGGGCACCTCCGGGTTTTCAATGGTTTGCAACTGCCCGCCTCAAGCCAGACAGCCCCTGGTCAAATTGGTGCAAACCCACCAAAACCCACCTGCGCCTGGCCGTGGTCGGGGGTGCGTATCCTACTACGGTCGCAATGTATATATACATCGTTCCAGTACCTTAAAAACTGCGCGTGACAGACCTCAAGCAGATCCCAATCTGTCTCTGCAATCACATTCCCGAGTTGGATCTGCTCTCCACTGCCATGTGGATCAGGCTATTGAGCCAAAGACTCCGGGTGGAGTCTCTCAAGCAAACCTCCGAAGCACAACCGCCACGTTGCATGCGATTGCCCACCAATGCAATCGTATGCCTGCGCACAAAGCACACAGCATCGGGTGCTGGAACGTGCGCACACTAGTGGACCGGAATTCGAGCGAGCGCCCCGTGCGACGCACAGCACTGGTCGCGATGGAATTGGCGTGCTACCACAAGGACATTGCGGCGCTCAGTGAGTCCTGGCTCGCTGAGCAAGGTAACTTCCATGAAGCAGGTGCTGGCTACACATTCTACTGGGTGGGCAACGGCCCCTCAGCACCACGTGAACATGGGGTCCGATTTGCAATATCCGATCGCCTCCATGGCCAGCTGGTAGGTGAACCAATAGGGATGGCGCGCGTCTGCTGTCCGCTCGCCTAAGCATGCATGGTCCAACCTTGTGTTATCCTGTTGATTTGCGTGATCAAGTCAACACTCAGTCATTCTTCGTGATACGGTCCGTGTCGAGCAGCGACCGACTATTTCTGCTGGGTGATTTTAAAGCGTGCGTTGAGCGTGATGCATCGGTGTGGGCAGATGTTATCGGTCAGCATGGAATTAACTTAGCGAATGGGAACGGTGACAGGCTGCTCTCAATGTGGGTAACTTACGGCCTGACGATCAAGAACACTCGGTTTGCACTGAGTGCGAGTGATATAGCAACTTGGACGCACCCATGGAGTGGTCACGCTCACCTGCTCGACAATGTCATCGTACGTCAGCGTGATATGCGTGAAGTGCGCATGACAAGTGTACTGCGGGGAGTTGAGTGCGACACTAATTATAAGTTGGTGCGGAGTAAACTGTATAGTTTACATCGTAAATCTATGTACTGCACTCCCGCAGTGAATCTGCGTAAATTTAACATTCTCCCATAGTACTGTGGAAAAACGTATTGAGCTGAAAAAGGCGATCGCTGCATGCCTGTGTGATGTGGACTGCATACCCACAGTGGGCGTCCTGTGACACCACATTCACGACCCGGTAACAGCCGTTGCCGAAGAGACCATCAGACGCGCACACTGTAAGCGGTCTGATTGGTTTGATGAGAACAATGCGACGATTGGCGCATTGTTGTCGGAGAAGAATGCAGCATTCGCTGTATATGTGACGGACCTCAGTGACTTAGGAAAGAATAGAAAGTTAGGCAGAATTCATCGACGGATGACCCAAAAGCTCCGTCGCATAAAAAGTGTATGGTGGACAAAGAATGCGAAGCAAATGGAATGTTACGACGAACGCTGCCAACACAAAGAAATCTTTTACTCCTTCAAGGCGGCGTATGAACCGAGGTTGAAATCACTGAGGACGCCAATCGATGGTATTTCGGGCGCTGCCTGCACAGAGAATGCAGACCTAAATAGATCTGGCAGGATCACTTTGACTGTCTCTCGAACAATCACTCAGAAATCCACTGGCTTACTTTGAGCAGCCTGAAGCAATACGATGTGAAAGCGAGTCTGGCGGACACGCCAACCCTGGATGAGACGCAGAGAACACTTGATAAGTTGCGAA